ATTATGCACTTGCTTTTGATGGGAAAAAAAAAAAAAAATTTTAAAAAAAAAAATAAATACCATAACTTGCATATTTTAAGGATCATCATATATTGTCTTTCAAATTCGACCCAAACAAACATACGATTAATTATGAGTACGTTTGATTGCGACCACCTCAATACGTAAAATACGTAATCGAACTAATCCATTTATATCATAAAATCGAGATACTAGGGTTACTTTGCTCATGATCGTGCATAAAAAAATATATTTGAAACGTTACTTATATTCGGCCAAGACTATTATTGGTAAGGTTAATGATACAAATGAAAGTTTTTTTCTCGTAGACCGCAGAATAAACTTTTTTCTAATTACCTGAGACTAGTACGATTATAATAATTTTATATATTTATTTATTTAATCATTTATTCAGTAAAAAAATTCAAAGAATGTCACGAGCAATAAAACCAAAGAAATGGACTACGGACGAAATCATTAATATTCTCTCGTATATCAACGATTATTTCAAAAATTCATCTGGTTCGCTAGCAAGGGCATGTGATGAAGCAATGGAACATCTTCAAATAGAAAGAACTCATAAAAGCGTTTATTCAAAGATCAGGAAATTAATCCAAGCCATGAAGGTATGGTTGAGTGATCACGTAAAGAATGAAGATGTGATCATTTGGCAAGATGATCGAGTTTATACATTATTAGAATCCATTTGTAAGAGATCAACAATAGAATCGACATTCGGAGAAAAAGGAAAATCACAACAGAAACAAATTTTTAAAGAAAACAATAAAGTTGAGAATTCTAGTGATATGACAGATTCGACTTGGACAGTTGTTGGAGATTATGATGATCCTGTTGAAATATACAAGTAAGATAGATGTTCTTTTTTTTTCAAATAATTTTTTAGTCGATACCTTGGTTAAAATAAAAATAAAATTAAAAAAAAAAACTTTTAGGATGAATGAAGTAAAGTCGTCTCTTTTTCAATTTTCATTAAAGATCATTAATGATAGAATCCCGCCAAGTTGAAGATGAGGCAAGGAAAGTTTATGAGTCGGCAAATAATGTTGAGGATGTGAAGTGTCATGAAATTCTTCAAGTGATCAAGCAAGAACAAGAATTTCGAGATGAAATGTTTCATTTGTTTGCGGAAACTGAAAAAAAGATTAATGACATGAGATCATTATGAACATTTTATTTATCCCTTTAAGAGTTTCATTTTTTTTTGTTTGCATTATTTTTATTTCATTAGCTTAAAAGTTATCATGAGGCAATGCAGCATTGTTATTCGCTTAGGTTTCTTAAAAATAGATTAATTATAAAATGCAGGTATTTTCTCTAAGTTTCCTGAAAATAAATAAATAAATAAATAAATGTTTACAATTAAAAAAAGAACGAATTTTGATCTACAAAACTACTTCTAAATAATACCTTGGGCGTCTTGTTCATTTGATGACCAATAGTTACGTTAGATGTTAGGAATATCTCACGTTTTATATAAAACACTGAAGGGAATAAAAAAAAAATTTACTTTTTTTCCTCTTCATTTTTTCTTTAAAAAAAAAACCAGAATTATCCTAAAATTATCTTAAATCACTTTCAGTCCTTTCATACAAATTAAGGGAAAAAAAAAAAAATAAATAAATAAAAATAATGCCTCGGGAAAATTATAAACCAAAACGTTGGGACACTTCCGAACTAATCCAAATCCTTTCTTATATTAATACACATTTTGAATTATGGTATGAAAATCCTCACGTTGCTTGTACTAAATCCATGGAAACTACTAAAACTTCTCGAGGTATTAAATCGGTTTATGGTAAAGTTCATAGAATGATTAAAGTTATGGATGATTATCTTCAGACTGGCAAAAAATCTTGTGATTTGGTTATCTGGGAGGATAAAAGAATTTATGATATGTTAGAAAATATTTGTACAAGATCTAATGAAAGGAAGGGTCAAGAAAGTGAATCTCCAATAAAAAAAGGAAAAAAGAGAGGTCGTAAGAGAAGAAATGAACTTTCTGATGGAATTGAAAAGGATACCAATATAATGAATGATAATGTTATGGATAAAAAGGTGAAATTAACAACTAGGTAATGTTATGTAATCATGACTTGAAAATTACAGTTCTTTAATAAATTCGAATTCTCTTAATAACAATTTCTTTATTTCTCTTCATAGCATCGAAGAAGCCCCTCAGGCAATCATTGAGGAACCTAGAGAGATTGCCGCTGATCAATTGGACTTGTCTGTTCCTTCTATACCCTATACAGTTGAGATGATTGACGAACTCTACAATAAACAAATTCAAAAGGCCGAGCACCATGTTCAAGAATTGTTGAACGTTTCTAAAACCAAGATCGATTTCAACTATAAAGAAGTTCGTGATTTGGCCGTGCAAATTTCTCAACGTCAATCAGAACTTAAGAAAATGACCGACGAGCTTAATGACAAGATGGAAAAGTTGAGGGATTTTAAACCCTTATAAGTGATCTATGTGGTATATACGAGCGTATTCAGAGAATCGTACGATGACGTGAAGTGACAAAAAGATTCATTTTTTTTTTTATGATTTTGAAAATGAGATTGTAATATGGCGAGAAATTATTTTTGCGTTTATTTTAGTTGTTTATTTTTGTCTTACAAATAAAATGTGGTTTTATTCTGTTAAATTACTATAAGGGTGAACAATGTTGAAGTTGTATCAGCTTCCAAACGGTTCTTTATAAATTTCAAAGAAATGTGTAAACAATTATAATTGATTCTCTTGAATAAATTATTTAATACATTGAAGGGTTACGGAATTCCCACATATACTTGATATATGTTCCAGAAAACTATTTCACGTTCAGAAAAAAAAAAATTAAGGTATATTCAGCCTAAATTGTTCCGTCTATGATTTTTATAAATAAATATGTTCTTTTAATCAAAAGATCTTATAAATCATTACGCCTAATTTCGACTTACTAAAAATAATTTCGATTCTAATTTCGACCTTTAATTATGTCCGATGCCGTCTTATTAATAAGGGCAATTGTGTCTACATGATTATATAATCAAATTAAACAAGAGAAATTCAAAATTAGCAAATCTTAAAATGAAAGTAAAATAAAATTACCTTAATTGACAGTGGTTCAAAATAATAATATTTAAGAACAAATATTGTACCACATTTGACAAAATTTTTCTCATCCAAATTTCAAACGTGTCGTACCATTTTTGCGGTTGTAAAATGGTTATAACAACTATCAGCGTGGTGATTGCTTGGACAGCCTACAACTATTTCCATCCTATCTAACCAATATCATTATCGTAGATATCTCTTTCAAACGTTAAAAATACCGGTCGGTATTTATTCAAGAGTGAAAACTTGAGTTAATGCGTTCGGCACATTGATATAATGACATGATCGACCAGTTTTGCGATTTCTAACTATCTCCGAATATTTCCTAGATATTCGTGTAAAAATCCACCTTGACGGAAACAATTACTGGCTGTCAATACTATTTCTTTTGCAGCCTAGATCCCTTCCTCTATTTTATGAGGTGTTAGCTAGAATCTATCGTCAGGATTTTGAATACGATTCTTATATTGCTCGATCAGAGCCAAAGGCTTATTTCATGATCGTATGTGGCTTTTGTAACACCTTCAATTGATGTATTTTACTGCACCAGTCTATTGAGAAATTTAAATCATCATCAACATTAGCATAATGCATTTCCAAAATAAACTGAATGTTCTCGTAAATATTCAACTCATCCATTAACTTGAATGAGATAATAAAAATCTTTTGATCCTTTTGCTTTTTTAATAACCATCTCTTTTTACCGACGAATTCTTACGTGTTATTTAACTCTATCATTTAATCCAAATAACCGTTATAATTTAAGGTGTAATAAGAAAAGTCGGTAATAATAGGTTTATCACAATGTTTGTAAACGTGTCTAAATGTCTATGATATTCGTGAAAGTTCTTTTTTTACCCTCCATAGAAATAAAAAAAAAAAAATTTTTTGGATTAATTATATATACTGAGATGATGATCAAGTTGTACGAAAAGCTCACAGACCTCTTTATAATCACGCCCTTTATAGTCACACACCCTTTTATGTAGGGATGTTAAAATCCAGTCCGGTCCTAGTCCGGTCCCGAACCTTTTCGTGGGACTGTTTAGGACCTAGTCCCATTGGACTTTTTAACATCCCTAGTTAATTCCCTCCAAGCTTCCAATCATTTTTTGATTAAAATGTCTTTCTAAATGACAACACATGAACTTTCATCAAAATCTCCTAGAGATATTTTAATTTTATTAGGAATTAATAAATTTATTTAACAGCTATTATTGAATAACATACCATCATTTCGTATATTAGAATTTCATCTTAGTTTAATTAACAAAAGAACTAGCGATTTACACGCGAATCTTAAGATACAAATTATAAATAGGATTAAATATCATAAAAATTCGCCTTTTAGGAAATAAAATACAAGGAATATTTGGATAATTGCAATCCGCCAATGAAATTGCCAGATATTGATTTATTACCGCTATTGTCCTAATCTATAAGATTTATTTGACTTAAAAATAAAATTATATAAAATGGTCACAAAAATTAATTATACCTACTTTATCATTAATCCTATATATTTTTTCCATTACTATTCTTTGCTTTAAGTGAACAATTTCACCATTTTCAAAATGTATATCAGCGAAGGAGAGGTCAAATAAAAACTCGTTAAAATTTTGAATACTTATAATTATATTATTATTACCTGAAATTATATCCATTGTAACAACATATTTGAAAAGAGAAAACTGAAAAATTTCACTAGTTTGTTACAACAAAATGAAATCTATAAATGAGATCTGGAAGTATTAAGGATTTTGTTATCAATGTAATATTTAATAAATTATAAATCAAAAAATATCTTTAAATTTTAAAAAATTCTTAGATATTTTTTAATATCAAAATAACAAATATGAAATATGTTAACTTATATTATGAACCTTTTTTTTCAATTTTGACAAATCTAATTTAAAAGTTCAAGATCAATTTTTCATAATTTTTACAAAGTAAATATTGAAATTTTCC